TTTGCTATAATTTGATCTTAAGTTCTTATTTTAGTGAACCCTTTCATTAAAAAGATTTTAAGGTAGAATTCGTATCCGTGACACTAGTCGAGTTCATTATCCAAGTTTTTTCGCTTTTCAAACTGTTTCAGCATACAAATTGATCAACAACATAGGATCAATTCTTGGAGTAACTGTTCATGCAGAGTCAATATGCGCTAGTATGTATGTACGTATGTATGAACAAGAGCGACGAGGAATGAAAACGAGGTGTTGGTTTTAATCGTATTTGTACTTGAGTAAGCATTTTTTTAGACTTAACTAGCGAACACAAAAAATAAATTAAAAGTGAGATTAAGGGCCAATTTCACAGTGCGTAGTTAACTCCGAATCGACAGTTAACTAGAGATTTTCAGTACAAAAATCTGTAGTTAACTCCCGATTCCGAGTTAACTACGCATTGTGAAATTGGCCCTAAGTATTAAGTTTTTTTAAAACTAGAATTTTTTTAAGCTACAATAGGCAGCTACATTTATTCCCTTAGAAACGAAGCAGGGAGACATATTGAGTAATTGTGCGTAGAGGATAATGTATTGCAAACGAAAGGAAATCTTTCGCATTTCGAAAGCCCGTTAAAATTCTAAAGAGCAGATAACTAATATCCGGCCCTTAAAGAGCGGCATTCAGCACAATGACGTTATGTACCGTCTGGTGAGGTCCTTGCAAGCAAAATATTGTCCAATCCACTGGCTGGGTTGCTCAGCCATATACGCGATTTCTACAAAGAGATCAGCCTTCGAACCATAGGCTATAAAGCCTCACTGAGCGCGTTGGGTGGAAAGCTAAAGCACACCGTCAACGAACTGACTGGGCAGGTCTTTGACACATCAGTTTCAGAAACTTTCGCTACCTAGACCTTTTTAGTTGCTATCAGTTACACCTGACAGACACTACAAAATTTAGAAAGACGAAAGTGCAGATTCCGAGATGCTCAGAATATACACAAGACAAACTTTTTCCGAAATCCTTTAGGCCAATCTGCCTCGGTACGTTTGTAGTCAAAAGCTTCTTGTTCTTCTAGTTTGCCGCTGTAACCGCCTAAGTGCCTTCGGCAGAGTCCAACAGAGCGCGCCAGTCGTTTCTCTTCTGTAGTTGTCTACGGTCTTACTGAACTACCTAGTACAATCGTGTCAGCATACATACATGCATACGGGTATATGGCGGGCCGTTCTACTGAAGCCGCCCTCTATGAGTTGAAAAGTGCACATACTTCGAGATAGCTTAGTAAAGAAAGAGACAGGTCCATGACAGGAAAAATTTGGGGTTTCTCCCCGAAAATACATTAGTAGGACGTATTATAGCTTATTGAGCCATCCTCTTAGTTGATGTATGTATGTACATCACTACAAAACTTGA